CTGTTTCTTATGTCTAAATTTCAAACGAAATTCTTTTAGCCGAAATCATACTCTTATGCTCATATGTTTCTACCTTTATCCAATCAGACATTTCTTAACACTATACTTAAAACTAAGAGATAACAGAATTTGTCCTAACTTGCTGTGGTAGAGAGTAACAACGCTTCATTGCCCAGTTATAAGTACAAAGGCTAGGCCATGCAAATTAAGTTCGCGCTTATCTTTTTTCTACACTTTGTTAGCTAGATGGTACTATAGTAGGTAGATACGCGTACCAGCCCTAAGCTATGTGTGACTAGTACCCTGCTATCTACACTTGTTAATAACTTCTTTAAGCCTTTCAAAGATTATGCTTCAAAGTCCACGGGACTATATAAAAGCAGAACAGATTGGTATGGACAGATCAATACGTGCAGATTGCGCAGTAGAATGTATCATACTGCCAGAAAAATTACAATTTTAACAAGCATATAGACAGATATGGCGAATAATGAATTTATCTGTGCATGTTATCTGTCACATTGAATGAGTGTGTGAGTGAGTGTGTTGCATGTGACGTGCTGCTCGTGAATGTGCTATGTATGGGTCTGCGGTTTATCATGCAGATTGGAGCGTGTGCTGTTGTGAGTACGTATGAGCTGTTTGAAATGCGTAATTTAATGTATCAGGCTTAAATAAAATTGGAGCTTTCTCTTCAATCACCAGACCGAAAACCTATTGTTGTAACCGATTTTCATGTCATTATAAAGATATTGCTTAATTGCCTAATGCCGGTTTGTTCTTTCATCAGGATAGTAGTTTTAATTCTGCTTCTGAGCTATGTGCCATGTTATGGTTCTTGCGGCTCCAATAATTCTACATACCCTGTTACTCTCCCTTCTAGTAGAAGTAACTGTCTTCATCATGATTATATTAGTGTTGCCTTCCCACACAGAATTGCCAGTCTTCAGTATTGTTAGTGTTGCAGTGCCTTTAACATAAATTTATGGAATCATTTTCTGAACCTGCTGTCGTACGTACAGCATTTTGTGTCATTTCCACAACATTCAACGTGAGGGCGTGCACAGAATTCATTTGCGTTTTGCTGTTACCTTGGAGCTATATACATTTCTTAGATGATGTGTAAGCAGGTCTCACGTGAAAAAAAATCACATCTACCATCATCTCTTTACCAGCTTAGCCGTGGCTCGATTCATGACAGATCATGTTACTCTCTGGTTTACTAAAACGACTTTAAAATTTAGCATCACTTGTCCAGAATAATGAAAGATGACCAAATTCTACGTCAGGACATGTACGTACGTGACTGAAACTAACCTTATATATATAAGGCATATTGGAAGCATCTGGTATTTTCCCGTTTTTAACTTTGTGACGTTTTCTTTTACAGCTGATCAAACTTGAACACACCTGGTTGTGTTTCCTCAAATTGAGTCAATATTACGACAATAGACAACGTTATGATTTATGCTGCCTTGCAATACTAGACAGTATTCTAGCACTAGTGTTCGGCAACCTGCTTAGAAATACGAATATCTTAAGTGAAATTGTGAATGCTTGAATTCCTTTTTGCCCTGTAACATATCTCCT